CACTCCAACTTGTTTACACTGATGTGTGTGGGCTAATCAATCCACATTCCTTTGGTAAAAGTAAATACTTTCTTCTCTTCATTGATGACTTTAGTAGAAAGACTTGGGTTTATTTCTTAAACCAAAAATCTAAAGCTTTTGCTGCTTATAAAAATTTCAAAGTACTTGTGGAGAAAGAAAGTGGTTATGAAATAAAAGCTTTAAGGTCTGATAGAGGAGACGAATTTACTTCAAAAGAATTTAATGACTTTTGTCAGTCTCATGGAATTCGTCGCCCTCTAACGGTACCTTATTCATCCCAACAAAATGGAGTTGCAGGAAGAAAGAATCGAACGATTCTTAATATGGCTAGATGTATGTTAAAAGCTAAAAGTATACCCAAAGAATTTTGGGCCGAAGCTGTTTCTTGTACAGTTTATTTGAACAACATGTCTCAAACAAGAAATGTTAGAAATCAAACCCCTCAATAAGCATGGAGTGGAATAAAGCCAAGTGTTAAGAACTTGAGAATCTTTGGGAGCACAGCCTATGCTCATGTGTCATAGCAAGGGAGAGCGAAGCTTGACGATCGAAGTGTCAAGCATGTGTTTGTTGGCTATGATACGAGTTCAAAAGGCTACAAGTTATGCAACCCAAGAAGCAGCAAAGTGGTGGTAAGTCGCGATGTTGAATTTGATGAAGAATTGGCATGGAATTGGAAAGCTCAGGAAGAAACTTCATATGATTTTATTCCATACTTTGGTGATGAAGAAGAACCAGAGACTATGGAACCTGTGCAAGATACAACTCCACCTCCTTCTCCAACCAATATTGCATTTCCTTCTTCTCAAGAAAGTTCAAATGAACAGCCGCAAAGGATGAGGAGTATTCAAGAGCTCTATGAGGACAAAAAAGAAGTTATTAATTTTGATTTTTTATGTTGTCTCTTTGCTGATAGTGAACCAATGAACTTTGATGAAGTTGTTACAGACAAAAGGTGGAGACAAGCCATGAAGGAGGAGATCTAGTCAATAGAGAGAAACAACACTTGGAAGTTAACAATTCTTCCCAAGGGATAACAAGCAATTGGAGTGAAATGGATATACAAGACAAAGAAAAATGCTGATGGAGAAGTAGAGAGATACAAAGCACGACTTATTGCTAAAGGATACAAGCAAAGGCAAGGCATTGACTATGAAGAAGTCTATGAACCTGTTGCCCGCATGGAGATAATTCGTTTGTTGATCTCTTTGGCGGCGCAAATGAAGTGGAAGATCCATCAACTAGACGTCAAGTCAGCCTTCTTGAATGGCTATCTTGAAGAAAAAGCCTATGTTAAACAGCCACTGAAATTTGTGGTCAAAAACCATGAAGATAAAGTGTTTCGGTTGAAGATAGCTTTATATGGATTGAAGCAAGCCCCACGGGCATGGAATAGTTGCATCGACAATTATTTTTAAGACAATGGGTTTACTCGTTGTCTCCATGAATATGCTCTTTACCTTAATGTTCATACTAATGGAGATATCTTGCTTGTTTGTCTCTAGATTGATGATCTTATTTTCACGTGTAATAACCCAAGTTTGTTTGAAGCTTTTAAGAAAGATATGTCCCGTGAGTTCGAGATGATGGATGTAAGGCTCATGTTATACTACTTGGGCCTAAAAGTGAAGCGGATGGATGATAAAATTTTTATCTCTCAAGAAAGCTATACAAAAGAGATATTGAAGAAGTTCAACATGCTCGATTGCAACCCCGTGAACACGCCAATGGAAAGTGGGACAAATTGTCCAAGTTTGATGAAGGAGAAAAAGTGGATCCCACATTTTTCAAAAGTCTTGTGGGAAGTTTGAGTTACTTGACTTGTACCAAGCCAGATATACTATTTGTAGTTGGAGTAGTAAGTCGCTTCATGGAAGCTCCTAACTCCACTCTCTTGAAAGTCGCTAGAAGAATTCTTCGTTACCTAAGGTACGATTGATTTTGGGCTATATTACTCTTCTAGTGATTTCAACCTTGTAAAATTTTGTGATAGTGATTATGGAGGAGATATTGATGATAGAAAAAAACACAACTGGTTTTGTGTTTTTCTTGGGTGATTTCCTGGAGTTCAAAGAAACAATCAATTGTTACTCTCTCGACTTGTGAAGCTGAATATATAGCATCAACATCATGTACATGTCATGCTATTTGGCTGAGAAGATTATTAAAGGAGCTCAATTTACAACAGATTGAAGCTACGGAAATTTGTATTGACAACAAATTTGCACAAGCACTCATGAAGAATCCAATGCATCATGATCGAAGCAAGCATATAGATACAAGGTATCACTTTATCAGAGAATGTATTGCCAAGAAGGAAGTCAAGCTCAAATATGTGAAGTCTTATGATCAAGTTGCTGATATCTTTACAAAGCTTCTCAAGTTTGAAGATTTTCAGAGATTGAGATTAAGACTTGGAATAAAAAAGAAAAATCAAAATTAAGGGAGAGATTGTGGGGTTCATCACATCAGTATAGACATGTGCCTATATAATAATACTTGGCTGAAGTTTATACTTGGTGACCATGTTTGGAAAGATGTGGAGGAGAATCAATTGCTCTTGTAGAATACTTTGAGCCCAGGGCTCTTTTGCCTATAAAAGGAATGCATTCTCTCGATTGTAAACACACCAAAAGCAGAGAGAAGTAATAAAAGTTAGAGAGAGTAATCCACAGATCGTAGTCTGTGAGATAAATAGTGAGTGTGAGTAATATTGTAGTGATGTATTTAAAATAAAGATCGAAGTTGTAGTAGTCTCTTGACATTACTAAGTTGTAATATTGCTCCGCTCGGGTATTGTATTTTACCCCGTTAAAAAATTTGATGTTTTTGTTACTCTCTTGTGTTATTGTTATTTATAGTAGATATTATTCCTAGACGGTATATTATTTTCCCAACAATTGATAGCCTATAATAAAAATGTTAATCGGCCTTATATCACAAGTTAAAAGCCATTATAATCAAGAAAATCTTCTTTTGCCCCCACCCAAAAAAGCTACTTCCTGGCTCCACCCTTGACTTTAAATTAAACATCTAAAATAGATCAGTTAGGAAGTAGTAGTTATACATTACCAGCAAGTGTAACTGCAGAATAAAGGTTTTCTAGAGAGATGGAAGTATGTTGTGCTGTGTTAATCGAGATTAAGATATATTTGGATTTGATGGCCCTTAACCCTTGGGTTATGGACGGGTTAGAATTAAATTAATCACTTCCCAATTGTCTCAAAGAGTTTGTTTAAGTCAACCATTAAAAAATAATGGGACGATGATCTTTTTTAAGCAATCATGCGACCGATAAAGAGATCGTATCAGTTAGGCCAGCAGAATGTTAATTGTAATAATATATACTTATTGCATTAATTAATTAATTGCAATGGCCACTACTCACTAGAGGCACATTTAATGCGAATGCTAATTACGCCAACTTCCAAACAGAATGCGCGTTGTGTGTGTTAATAGCTGTTTGTTTTTTGTTCGGAAACATGTTTGGATGTAGGTGATGTCAATTTCCAAAGGACTTTTTGAAAAGAAAAGACTTTATATTTTTTTTTTGAAAAGAAAGGACTTTGAATAATTATTTTAATTGGGGTTGGTTTGTATTTCCTCATTCTAATGTACTAAAAATATATTTTTATTTTTACTTGTTTATTTTAGCAAATTAAAATAAAGATAATTTTTTTTTTATGTTTTATCCTTATCATTAACTACTCATTTCCTAAATTATTTTTCGAGACTTTTTGAAATGTTATCATTATTATGGGTAAAATTGTAAAATACTTGTTTTATTTATTTTTTCTTAAAGGGAGTGCAAAGTCAAAAGTGGACAAATAAAAGTGAACGGAGGAAGTACGAAACTAAATACTCCCTCACTTCCGTTTTACCTTGTCACTTTTTCTAAAAATAGTTATTTCATTTTCAATAAACAATAGAATGTTTTTTTAAAATTTTACCCTCACTTTAATAAATGTGGAGAGATATTAACATGGTGAAAACTAGAAGTAGTAATAAATTGAGATTAAAGAATAAATAAAGCTAATTTAATCAAATTATTTTTTAATTAATATTTTTTCAAGGAACATGCAAAAAGTAAAAATAATAAATAAAAGAGAACGAAAATTAATTCACGCTTAAATTAAGCAATTTATCGAAAATTATTCTTGTAAAGTCATGTGTGTATGATGTATCATTCTTTGAACATATAATCTAAATCGAGTGGTGTTGCTTTGTTTAGAGTCTTTTTTAGACTCAATATTGACAGAAGACAGGAAACAGCTTAAAATCATCTTCTGCGAAAGGGATAAGAATACTAATCTACGGATAGAATATGAGATTATTTTATCATGTGTTCAGTTAAAAAAAAAATTACTTGGGACACGCAATTCAGAGATTATTTAAACCACAAATGTGGTATTAATTTTGTACAACATTCAATATGCGATAATAAGTTTGAAATTAGTTAATTTGAGATAAAACAATCAAATGACATATCCTTCTCTAAAACTCTTCTTCCAAAATCATTTAGAAAAAGTCATGGTTAAAACTAAAATAAAAAAGTTTATCTAATGTAAAATTATATATATCTTATATATCTCATTTTTAATCCAATTAATGATCCAAAAAAATACAAAGTATATTAATAAAATAATATCAATATTCTAGTCATTTATTATAATCATCACATTATAGGTTTAGTATAATTTCTTCTCTAATACAAATATGATAGGTGACAATAATTAGTAAGAAAGGTTTTATGGAGCATCTGATGATCGCCTGTCAATTCTACATCTTTTAATTTATACCTGTGCGATGAAGAGTAATTGTTAATTATGGACGTTTTTTTCATCCCAATTTTCTATAGTTGGTCATTTTTGTTCTTTCAATATTTGTGCTTCGCGGAACAAGATGAGATATACCAAGAAAAACATCGATCCTTCCGATTCTATCAATTTATTTATGCAACTAGCAAGTACATTGATATTTCTTATTTTTTAAAAAATAATTGTAGATTAAGCACAATGCCAATGCCAAATTAAAGGAAAATCCCTTAATTATATTATATCTCGTCATCCCAAAGTTCCTCAATCGTCTTGTATGGACTTGTAGTATCATTGGCTAGATACTCTGCCCTCATTATCTTCCTTTCCTCCATTTTCTCTATCTCAAGTAAATCCCAGTCGTCCAATGTCAAATCAAGGGCTCCAATGTTCTCCTTCATTCTTCTCGGATTGAAGCTCTTCACTATAACACTAGATCCTTGAGACAACCCCCATCCCAACGCAACCTGTGATAAATAAAAATATTAGTACTAATGAACAACATTAATTAATTTCTTGGTCTAGCCTTAGAAATTATATATGTGATTGAGATGGAGCTAGAAGGTAAGAGCTACGGATTCAGCTGAACTCAATAACTTTTAGTCCAGACCTTAGAATTTTATTAACAAATTCACTAAATATGTATAAAAATTTAAATTCAGAACGCGATTACTAACATCAAATATCGCTATCCTAAAATTTATAATTACCTGAGCTGGAGTTGCGTTATGCTTGAGGGCAATAGATTGGATGATGGGATGATTAACCACAGCAGTAGTTCCCCAGGCATTTCCAGGACCACCTAAAGGTGAATATGCACTTACATGAATTCCATAGTCTCCACATAATGCCCTCAGCTTTCGTTGCCTCCACATTGGATGCATTTCCACCTGAAACATCATTTAATTAATTAGTATCAAATATTAATCATAGGCCAATGTGATATATGTAACTAAAAAAAAGTGTCAATTGTCAACGCTGATAGAAATTATATTTATTTATTTGGTCATAAGTCATCACTCATCAGCAAGGCTGTAGAAGTCAATCATTTACATAAATATTTTTATGCTGTGTGGTTTTGTGATAAAGTTTCTTTGAATGCCAGAATTATAGAATCTCAAACGTACACAGGAATACGTGTTCTAATGATGTTTGGGGGGGGGTGTATTGTTTGGGGGTTTTTTCCTTCTTTTTCTATTTTGTGAGTTATCACAAGAATAGGGGGTTGGGTTTATTAGTTTACCAGAAGCTAAGCTAGATATAAATTTGACCCGAGAGAAAGGTCAAGTAACTGGCTGTTAGCGTAACGTCATAGAGTTTAGCTTACATGATAGTGCAAAAAAAAAATAATACATTATCAAGTTATTTTTAATTGTTGTATAGGAGGTAACTTATCTTATTTTCCAAATTTAATATTACTTCTAAATATTTTTTGGGTGACTTAGTAGCTAAAAGAAATTTACACAGCATGTGTATTTAAGTTAAAGTCAACGGCATATTCTATTGCAATAGGATTTAAGTTTTATATGCCACACTGATAGTACAAAAAAGTCAAAATTTATCATTCATCTTTACGTGATTATAATTACTCCCTCCGTTCCAATTTAAGAGGTCATTCTTTTTGGAACATATCAAAAAGAAAACAAGTTCACGGAGGGAGTATCTAATAAATGCATAGAACTTAAACTTCGATTATACCTGATTGACAGCAGGAGTGACACAAGCAAAGTCGAGAAGGTGTTCAATTTTTGTAGATGAGAAATTGCTGAGGCCAATGGACCTACACAAACCCATCTCTAAGCACCTCTCCATGCCAGACCAGGTATTCTCCATGTCTAATGTCTCAAAGTCTTCTTCTCTGGGAATTGGATAATCAACCCATGGCTTCAAAGACACTGGCCAATGCACCAAATACAAGTCCACGTATTCCATCCCTAGCCTCCTACAAAAACAATATGGTTTAATTAATAATTACTGCCATAGAAGCAAACACCTTTGGTCGGCCTTTCTGCTGCATGTTGGTTTTTTCAGGAATACTGAAAAACAACTGCTCCCTCCTTTAATTTTCAATTTATGTGGTATAGTGTGATTGTGCATGAAATTTAAGAAGATTTCTAAGGAGACATTTGGTCTCAATAAGGTTTTGCTTCGTTATAATAATATACTACTACCATTCAGCGTAAAATGACAAGTTTACGGTGCTTACTGCAGAGTTTGGTGAAGTGCAGAAATAGGATCATTGTGATCACTGGACCATAGCTTAGAAGTGATATGAATGTCTTCTCTCTCCACCACTCCTTCAGATATTGCTCTTCTTATTGCATTTCCTACTGCCGGCTCCGAACCGTATATTTTCGCTGTGTCAAAATGCCTGTACCCCATCTATACGTAGAGATGAAACCGCCAAATTAAATTTCAATTCAAAACCGAAGATGAAAAAAAGCGATACGCGTTTAGAGTTCAGTTACCTTGAGCGCCGTTCTAATGGCTTTTTCTGTTGTTTCTCTATCGTTTTCGCCGGAATAAGTACCCATACCTATAATCGGTAGGGTTTCGCCATTGTTTAACAATATTGCCTGATAACTTGTCATCTTTATTTTGAGTGTTCTCTTCTCAATGTATTTCTCTCTCACTTTGTGTGTAATGCATGAAACTACTTATAACTTAGACTGGCTTTATATAGTTTGCTTTCCACTAAAAAGTCAAAATTTCAGTTGACAGTTGATACAATGGACCCCGAAGGAACATTTTAAAAATTAAAAGAAAGACAGATGGAAAGAACCATAAATAAAGAGATTCTCGTTATTTTTGTTAAATGGAAGAGATTCTCATCTGTGCAATAAGTTTACTCGAAGATCTGACGGTGCACTATAATACAAAAAATCAAAAAAAATGTCATACTTTCTCCTTTTCAATTTATGTGGCATAGTTTTGACTTGAGTATCGAGTTTAATTTAAAAAGGAATAAAATTTTTTAAAATTTATGATCTTAAATATGTCCTAATATAATTGTATGACATTTATAACTTGTGATTTTAAATATAGCATAATATTTGTGATTTTATTATTAAAGGTAAAATAGCAAGTTCATATTAAATTATTTTTAAATTTAAAAAAATACACACTATTCTTTAGAAATAAACTAATATTGAAATAATGTCATTGTCTTTTGAATCAGAGATTAAATGTTTGCTTGCAAATATACTATTTAGGATTGGTGGAGGATGTTGAATATATTATTGAAGGCACTGACGAAGCAACATTCTTCAATTGGAATTTAAGTTAATTTGTAGTATACATTTTCTTTTACAACCACGTTTCTACCATTTGGTGTATGATAAGAAGGTGTCATATAGTTTCCTAATACCTCAACAGATTTTGTTTGCCGCCATATCTACAGGACGGCCCAACTGGCCTTAATCATCTTTTATTAGAGGCAAAAAGAAAAGGTCAAGCCGCAGACTTTCATTTTGAAAGAAATATAAGTTGAAAACCGTCCATTTAAATTATTTTTAAAAAAAATACTTGCCTCATAAAGTCAAATGGCCCAAAATTGGAAACATTAGCAGAACAGGGGAGACCCCCCTTTGTTTTCTTGCCCAATGAGTAGTCTACTTATTTTAATATTTGACAATATAAATTAATACTGTATTGTACTAAAATATTTCGTCAATAAAATCTTAATTTGACTTTAAACATGGATCGAAACAGTGGGGGTATATGTTGTAGAGATACAAGTGTTGTTGTTGTGCTGTATACATCAGATATTCAGATATGGTTGCATTCAATGGCATTAACCTTTGGGGTCCTGGATGGGTTAGTGTTAATTAATCAGTTTCAAAGATGTTTAAGTCAACGATTAAAATATTAATACAACTCTTTCTAGGCAATCATTAAAGTTAGTGATCGTATCAGTTTAGTAGCCATCACTACCAAGTGTCCAAAGGAATCGATCAAACTGAATTTAACTAGATTATTTTTACAGTAAATTTTATGGGCGTTCATTAAACTTTGTGTTCATTACGTAAAAATTATTTTTCTTTTTTTTGTTACGTAAAAATGATTCAACTTTTTGTTTATTACCCAAAAGTTATTTTTCTTTCTTTTGTTATACAAAAATTATTTTACTTTGTTATATTTATCACAAAAGTCACCTTAGCCAGATTTTATAATACTTTTATTTAAAAAGTCTATTATGTCCTTGTCATTATAAATTCTCTCATTTATTTAATACCTTCTATTAGGGGTGTACAAACCGAACCGGAAAATCGCACCAGACTGAAAAGTCAAACCAACCCGATTAAAAAATCCGACTAGGTTTGGTTTGGTTTGGTTTGGTATTGAGTAAAAAAATCCGAACCAAACAGACTTATAAATATATAATTTCTATATATACTTTTAAGACTTTATATAGAATTTCTTTACACAAATTCAAGAAATATTTGGGATTCTCTTATGGGATGTAATATTTAATATAATATGAAGTACTCCATTATTATTAACCTTAAATAATGGTTATATGATCATTTTCTTATTAAGTGTTACTGAAATGCGTGGATCTTTTTGTACTTCCATGTTCATATGTCAAGATTTATTAAATTCTTATATCTTTTTCGAATTTGAAGTGGTATTTCGATAATCTAAAATTAAATAGAACAAATCATTAATTAGGTATCATATTGGTTTTTATGTTTAACCTTGAAAGTATACATCAACAAAAAATTATTGTTAGGCGACTAAAAAAATAACTATCATGTGTTATTAATAAAATTCTCTCATAAAAATATTTTAATAGATCATATGTTTGTCAATTTTTTTAATTTTACTAAACATATATTTACTTATAAAAAATTTAATAAAGTAAGATTGAAATAATATTCATGTAACAAAAAAATCCGACAAAATCAAACTAATCCAAACTGATATAGTTGGTTTGGTTTGATTTTAATAAAAATCGAACCAACCCGGTCTATGTACAGCCTTACTTTCTATATTATATACTATATAATATATTTTTATCTAGGTATTTTACTTATAATTAAAATAAATTTTGAATTATTTTATTTATTATTTTTATAATATATCCATACATTTAATTTTTTTCATGGAACTCAATTTGTTTAATCATATTCAAGCATGAACAAGATATATAAGTAGCATCATTGAATTTTTTAGTAACATTAGCGTGAACAAATCTCAAGTCCACGTTCTTAATTATGTTTAATAAAAATTAAAAAATCAAAGCTCATTGATTTATCAACCAAGCCATACCCATTAATTTAATAAATAAAATACCCATATTTAGCAAAATACCACATCAGATTAATACTTTCAAATAAATAATATTAACAGATAAAGTTTTAAAAACTTAATATTAAACACAAATATCTTTAAAACTTTTTTTAAAATTATTATTGACTATAAAAAACTATCATTTATTAAACTTTTTTTTAAAAATAAATATTAATAAATAAATATTTTTTAATCATTTTTATAATGTACGAATATATTACAAAGATAATAAATAAAATAATATTAAGTTATTTTAATTATAAGTAAAATACCCGGATAAAAGTATATTATATAGAAGGTATTACATAAATGGGAGGATTCATAATGTCAAGGGCATAATAGACTTTTCAGGTGAAAGATTTGTAAAATCTGGTCAAAGTGATTATTGTGATAACTAGATCATAGTAAAATAATTTTTGTGTAACAAAAAAGAAAAATGACTTTTGGGTAATGAACCCAAAGTTGAATGACTTTTACGCGACAAAAGAAAGAAAAGTAACTTTTGAATAATAAACACAAAGTTGAATGATCACCCATGAAATTTACTCATTATTTTTAGGTGTGTTTTTAAAGTAAAAAGTAGGAGTATATGTTTCGGTTCAAAATTATATTTGTACTGAATAATTACATAAAAGATTGAAAAAGGAAATAATGAACCGGACATACTAAATATTATATTACATATTCACTAAACATACGTATTTAGTAGAGTAGCATTTTTGGAATTGGAAATTATCAAAAACTCGAACCCCCACCCCACCCAAAAAAAAAAAAAAATTATCAAAAACTTTTAACCATATACATTTAATAGTTTAAGTTAACTGGATAGTACTTTCGCCTCCTCCATTTTTCTATTATAGTTTTCTTTTTTTAAAATCTTTTGCTATTAGCTAGTCAGGAGAAGAATAGGAAGTTCACAATTAGTTACTACAAATAGGTAAGATAATAAACTTGAATGTCTTAAATTTACTTTAAACATTCATCAAAAAGAGTTGAAACCAATCCTTTTGGAAAACCGCACACTTGACTTTTGTATTATTGAAAAATAGAATAGAGAGAAAACTATTATACTCCTATAAAAATTAAAAAATATTATAAAATAAAAACTGTAAAGTAAAGACAAGTATAGAGAGAAACTGATATATTATTCAAACTTCAAACTTCTGTACATAATGAACTGAATTCTCCTCTATTTATACAACAAAGGAAGCTACTGTGTAAGCTGCTACTGCAAGCTGCTGTGTAAGCTGCTACTGCAAGCTGCTTGTAAGTTGCTGCTGTGTAAGCTGCTTGTAAGCTGCTGCTGTGTAAGCTGCTTGTAAGCTGCTGTGTAAGCTGCTTGTAAGCTGTTGCTCTAAACTGTTGTGCCAGATATAGATAATCTTCTATCATGGGTAATATTTATTCATAACGGAGTACCGAAAGGATAAGCTTCTTCAGGAGGCTTATTTCCAATAGAGTACTAAATAGATAAATGTATTTATGGCGGAGTCTCATATGGATAAACTTCTTCAGGAAGCTTATTTACAATGGAGTACTAAATGAACATCCATAATATAATATATTCATAACACTCCCCTTTGGATGTTCATTAAAAGATAATGTGCCTCGTTAAAACCTTACTAGGAAAAACTCCGTGGAAAAAATCCTAGTGAAGGAAAAAGAGTACATATTTAGTAATACGCATTGCTAGCTGCATCATTAAAAACCTTATAAGGAATACCCTGTGGGAAAAAACCTTAATAAAAAAAAAAGAGTACATAGCGTATTTTACTCCCCCTGATGAAAATCTTGTTTCAAATATTTAAGTCTCTGCATTCCAATCTTGTATACCATCTTCTCAAAAGTTGAAGTTGGTAAAGATTTGGTGAATAAATCTCCGAATTGTCACTTGAACGGATTTGTTGCACATCAATGTCACCATTTTTCTGAAGATCGTATGTGTAAAATAATTTTGGTGAAATGTGCTCTGTTCTATCTCCTTTTATAAATCCTCCCTTCAATTGGGCTATGCATGCAGGATTGTCTTTGTATAAAACTGTGGGTCTTTTCTCACATTCCAAATCATATTTTTCTCGAATAAAATAAATTATTGATCTCAACCATACGCATTCCCTACTTGCTTCATGAATGGCTATTATTTCAGCATGATTTGAAGAAGTAGCAACAATAGATTGTTTTGTGGAGCACCATGATATGATAGTACCTCCACATGTAAACACGTACCCGGTCTGAGATCTAGCTTTATGAAGATCAGATAAATAACCTGCATCTGCATAGCCAACAAGATCTGTACTATCTTTGTTAGCATAAAACAA